TTGACAATACTGCATTGTATACCTGAAGTTTGTTAAGACAGAAGATCTACTACTATGTGTTATTTACAACAACAACAACAACAACAACAACAATAATAATAATAATAATAGATGGTTGCTTCATTACCTTGCATCCATTTGTGACTATGATGAACAGAACCCCCTTTCAACCTGTGGTGGATATGTAGTATAAGCAAAAAATGAAACCTTATTATGTTCAGCTACTGCAACTTTGGAAATGTTTGTTACCACAGTATAACCAAGACTTTCCCAACTGATAAACATTTCTTGAATAAATGCTTATTTTTCCTGAAAATAACATTTCATTGAAAAAAAGTGCTTTGTTTTCTCAGTACCTACCAGAAATTAAACTCAAAAACCTTCCATCAGAAATATGAATCTCTTCTGAATATTCTTTATCAACGACTCTATTAATTTCATCTTTTCTTTGAGACTTTCCAAGCAAGGATGGCCCTCCAGCCTCCCGCACAACTGTCTTCCTGGAGATGCCCTTCACCTCTGTACTACGCAGCATAAACTCCCTGGTTTCTGCAACTCAAGTTGGCAAAGTCTTGCTTAGTATTCCAACATTTATTTTCTCAGTTAGTGGATTACATTTCCTGCCGTTCCTCACAGTAGGTTAACTCTATAACTTATTTCTGGCCAATGAGATGCAGGCAGTAATGCTGTATGTGATCTTTTTTTTTTTTTTTTTTGAGACAGACTTTCGCTCTTGTTTACCCAGGCTGGAGTGCAATGGCGCGATCTCGGCTCACCGCAACCTCCGCCTCCTGGGTTCAGGCAATTCTCCCGCCTCAGCCTCCTGAGTAGCTGGGATTACAGGCATGCGCCACCATGCCCAGCTAATTTTTTTGTATTTTTAGTAGAGACGGGGTTTCACCATGTTGACCAGGATGGTCTTGATCTCTTGGACCTCCTGATCCACCCGCCTGGGCCTCCCAAAGTGCTGGGATTACAGGCGTGAGCCACCGTGCCCGGCTGTATGTGACCTTTGGGAAGTGTCCTTAAAAAGATGAGGCTCACTCTTCTTTGTCCTTTCCTACACCAGGGTTTTTCAACTTTGGCACTACTCACATCTTGGACCAGATAATTCTTTCTTGCGGGCATCTATCCTGTGTACTATATTAGTAATGTTCAGTAGCGGCTCTCACCTACTAGATGTCAGTAGAACTCTCTCCTCCAGTTGTGGCAATTGGTAGTGACTTCAGATATTGCCAAGTACTCCCTAATAGGCAAAATCACTCCTGCTGAGAACTGTTGCTCTGTACCAGTGAATCTCAGACTTGAGTGTAAGTCAGAATCACGGGACACCTGTTCATGCATAGATGGCTGGATCTTCTTCCTCGAGTTCCTGATTTAGCAGGTCTGGGATAGGGCTTGGGAATTTGCAAGTTCCTAGGAAGTGCTGAAGCTGCTGGTCTGGGCACTGCACTGTGAGAACTGCTGATCTGTACTACCTTGCCTAACAGATAAATCTGTGGCTCCTACCAAATAAATGTCACCATAGCATTGAACATGGAAGTGTTGCAAACTATAGGCCATCAAGGTAAATCTTGAGAGTGAAGGTCAGAATTTTAGAAATCATGCTATTACATGAAATTGGAAGGCAACGCCAAAAACCTTGGTTTATGCATTAGATGAAGGTTTGGTTTACATTTGCTCTAAATGCAGTGATTTTTCTCAAACAATAGAGATGATCAAGATGAAAAGAATAATCTCAAAAGAAATAATAAAGATGATAGCAATGAATCTTATTAGTCTATAATGTGCATGCCCACCCGTCTTTATTCGATAGGTTTCCAGTTGTGCTTGTCAAGCTTTCTGTGGTAAATTTTATATAAATTTCCAGAGGCTATGTAAAAAAAAAAAAAAAAAAAAAAGCTATTATACACAACTCTTTTCACTTAGTGTCATATAATTTTTAATACCTTACCTAAATAATTTGTGTTGGAGCAGCAGAAAACTGGGGGGCATTAGTGCTGTACACGTTTCTGCAGATGGGAGGAAGACTGGTAAATCAAATAATTATGGCCTGAAACTTAATAGATGGCTTGTATTTAATCTTCTAGCTTTACTAGACAGGAAATAAGTCTAGGATTTTTAGACCATCACTTTTTAGCACTAATCGGTGCCTGCCCCTGCGTGTCTGGTACCAATGTTTAATTGTAGCCAAGAGAATCTGAGAAATGAGAGGATCTTTCCCCACACCAGCAAGCTACAAACAAAATCAATAGCCCTGTGCTGGCAACATTATTTTATTGTTGTCTCCTTAATCTCCTCTACTCTTTTGCAATTACTTTTATTACTACTGCTCATTTAATGAGACCATGGAGTTTGGTGCCAGATGGTGCCATTAGTTAAATCTGGAAGACTCTAATGGAATTGAGTTCAAAGCAGGTTAAAAGTAACAGAATTACAAATTTTAATGATCATCACCTCATAGCACATTGCTCTGTGTACCTGTTACATACCAGAAATTAGTGCCGGCTTCAAACAGAAAGACTTGGACTAAAGTTTAGACAGACCAAGTATTCATTCACTCACTCACTCATTCAACAAATACTTAATCGTATTCCTATCTGGGTGCTCGGGATACCATAAATAAGACAGTCATGGTTTCTGCCTCACGGAGTTAAGAGTCTACCAGAGGAGAATGACAGCATCAAGCAAACCAGCAAGATCATTATCCATTTGTGGTAAGTGCTAGGAACGGGGGAAGCAGGGAACTGGCATGGACGGGTAAAGGATAGAGTGGTTTAGGTCAGGGCTTGATCGAGGGAAGTTCTCCGAGGAGGTGCTCTTTAAGCTGAGACTTGAATGGTAGAGAGAAGCCGATTTGGGGCATGCAAGAGGAATGTCATTATTGTTTGATGCAGCGAATAGCACGTGGAAAGGCTTTTGGATGGAAGTCATTTGGTGTCCCCAAGGAACTCAAGGACACCTAGTGAGGAAGGGAGGATGGCTGGAGATGAGGCTGGAGAGTGGCCAGAAGCTGCTGGACCCAGAGTTGCGCATGAGTGAGATGAATGAGCGTTTAGAACCTGAGATTATCCAGGGGTTTTAAATATGCCTTGTGCCAAAGTGCTGATGAGTAAGACTTATAGCAAGAATGTCTTTTGGGTCAGGGCAGTAAATACTCATGAGAGCATCATGACCTGGTCGGTATGTAAAGTCATCACAAGCATACTTTTGTCCCTTGAAGAGGGCAGGCAGAACTGAGGCAATACTTTGATTCATAAAGTTGCCTTATATATTAGTAGCAGTAATTGAAACTTTGCATCACCGCCTTCCTAGAGGGAACATCTATTATGTTTAGGTCTCCTCCTCCTCCTGGTTGGTAACAGTGCCTGGCCTGCTTTTAAAGAACATCCCTGCTTGCCTCTACGCCCCTTGGCAAATGACTGCAGTCCCTTTCCCAGTGTTGCCTCTTCTGGTCTTTTGCCCTGGGCTGAGGGTCCTTCTCTCCTGTTGAATGAGTTTTCATCCATCAAGGTCAAGATCAAAGAGACACATGATCTCCTGAGCACTGAACTTGAGAGAAGAACACAAACCACCAATATTTCCACCATCTCCAGGAAGTCTTTCTTCAGCTTGTCTCTGAATTCCTCCAGGGATTTGTACTTCCTGTGTTGGCACACATATTTACATTGTTTATGAAGGACAGGCTAGATTATCAGTTCATTTCAGATATTCTCTGGACCGGTTGCCTTACACATAGCAGATACTAAAAGTATCTATTGAATTGAGTTCTTACTAGTGGTTATCATTTGTTGAGCAATTAATTGCCAAGCACTCTTCTGAGAGCTTGTTATTCATTAGTATATGATGACTAATTTTATGTGTCAACTTGGCTAGGCCACGGTACTCAGACATTTTGTCAAACACCATTCTAGATGTTTCTGGGAAGGTATTTTTTTAAATGAGATAAACATTCAAATGAACAGACTTTATGTAAAGTAGATTACCCTCCATTATGTGGGTGGGCCTCATCCAATCAGTCGAAGCCCTGAAGAGAAAAAGACTGACTTCCCCGGAGCAGGAAGACATTCTGTCAGTCAATTGCCTTTGGCTGAAACAGCAAATCTTCACGAGGGCTCCAGCCTCCCAGCTTACAGCACACACTTTGCACTTGCCGCCTTCCACAATTGTGCGAGCCAACTCCTCAATACCTCCTTTTCTCTCTCCCTCTATCTTTTCGTTCTCCTTGCTGGAGAACCCTGACTAATAACACACCTGACATCTAATAATTTAAGCCCATTTTATAGATAAGAAAAGTGAGGTTCAGAAGTGTTGAGTACCATGCCCAAGGGTATACACCTGGTACACGGTCGAGCCAAGATCCCAGTCCAGGCCTTTCTGAGCCATAACAGCTTCTTATGCACTTTAATTCACAAATAAGAACACAATGACCTACATACTGTACTTCCGATAAAGTAGCTCTCCTTTTTAATGATTCAAAAGCCACCTTGGGATCTTACAGTGCGTGGGAATCATCAATATGTAAATACCTTATTATCCAGGTGACATGCAAAAGTGTCCAGTAGCACAGAAGGTTGGTTAACAGGATGGTGTGTTCCAGCTTTTTACTGCACATGGACTTGCTTGGAATATTTAGGACCCTATATAAAATTATATTCTCCAAAGTCATAATTTCCAAGAAGATCTTGAAATACTATTTTTATAAGCAGCCAACTGCAAGATCTTTAGAACCATGAGGGGAACTCAATACACAACAATTTAAGATTAATCATTTTGTTGAATGTAAGATTATATTCCCTCCCCCGAAAGAATGAAATTAAAATAGAGGAAAATAAACAGGACATGTGGAATCCTGAGCCTGTTGATGCCTTTTGCCTTGGGCTAAAGTTCCCTGGTGAGGTGTAAATTTCAAAAGTGTCCTCAAACTGGAACCATTCCATAGGAAAAGTCAGCAGAAAATATTGACCCCAGGATCAATTGTTTCTGTTTAAGTTTCAGATTGCTGCAGTCAAAATAAGCAGCCAGTGTTCGATAGACAGCTCCTCTTAGGAAGAATTGTCATCCCCAAACACATAGAGAGACATTCTCTCTGTCTCTCAATTAAAATCATTATTTCCAGAATAAAGAAGAAGATGATGAAGATATTGATTATGTTTGCTCTTGGAATGAACTACTGGTCTTGCTCAGGTAAGGTATTCACCAACCTGGCCACCTGCTCTGGATGATGCAGAGCCACACTGGCACCTGTGTCTTGTCTCACCTTGCCCCATGTGCTTGTGTGCCCAGGTTTCCCAGTGTACGACTACGATCCATCCTCCTTAAGTGATGCCCTCAGTGCCTCTGTGGCAAAAGTGAATTCCCAGTCACTGAGTCCGTATCTGTTTCGGGCACTCAGAAGCTCATTAAAAAGAGTAAGTGCACAGTGAAGTCTTCTCTGCTCCTTACAATGCTGTCTGCCTTTTGTCAGTTCATTGGATATACTTTTAAGACATTTTCTCCAGTTTAAAAATGAAAGCAGTTAGTTCTCTCTTTCATGACAGAGAAAGGATTTAATTACAGTATTTGTCATGAGGCTTTTCAAGCCACTTTTGATGACTGTATTCTTCTCTCTGACTCTGCCTTCTGTTTCCCTGCATCTTGCTTTTTGTACTTGAAGTCCTCATGGTTCTTTCTGAGGGTTTTTTTTTAAGAACTTCTCATTTATTGAAGTGAATCTCCTTTCAAATTCAGCAGTTCTGCTCCTAATACGTACTGAAAATAATCTGGCTTTTGAGCCAAAGAAATTCACCTTCCTATGTCAATTTGGTAATAGTCTGTTTCCTCTTGGCCTTGGGAGCTAGAGAAAGAGTAATCACTTGGGATTCCAGTGACTAAGTCTGTGATATGCAAGGAAATAAATGTAAAAATATCCTTCAAAGGAAATGAGAAACATAAGCAGCAAGTCCCCTCCTTTCTTTCTGTTCCTCAGGTAATTTCACTGCCTTTTATCATCTTGATGAGGCTCATTAGGAAGTAGGAATGGATGCATTTTCAAGCAAATTTAGGTTAAGGTGGGAGGTAGGGAGGTTCTATAAAGTTGCATGTTGTAGGAATGAAAGTTCTGTGCAGCCAGGCAGCATGAGAATGGAAACGGAGACACGACTGAAGGTCCTGGCAGCAGAGACCAGATGGGCATTGCTCTCGTTCTGCCTGCCTACTCCCTTCTCTCATTCCTCCTGGACTCACTCTTAGCTTGTTCCCTCTGCGACTCTGCAGAGCACTTGTCTCATGGTTTCCTAGTTCTAGCTTGATCTTCTTCAGAACCTGACTCCCAGTTACTGTTTTCCAAATTTCAAGGAAATGAATCAAATGGTCCCAGTTTTCTTTTCTGGTTTGGTTATAGTTCATAAAAACTATGGGCTGTGCTTTTGTTGGGTGCCATCCCAGGATCACGGTCAGAGTGAGGTCACTTGATATGGATGTTGTGGTGTGGAGGCACTGGTCAGCTGCCACACCAAAGACTGAGCTGCTTCTGGATCAGAACCCCCTTCCTTGCTTTTATGGTTTTTCAAATGCCAGTTTCCATGGGCATTTAATGAAATCTACTGGTGGTGGTGTAGAATCGAGGTCTTGTTGCCAACCTTGCAGAGGAACAGTTGAAATTTACTTTTGATTCAGCTATTGCTCACTACAGAAGAAAGTTAGTAGTTTATTAGATGAATCTGAGCATGAGGACAGATGCCAAGAGGACCAATTACTGATACCATGGAAGTCTGGCCTGCGGGGATGAGCTATTAGGAGGCACAGCCACCAGAGCATGTTCTGGCTCATGCGCCATCTTGGTATAGTCACCCAGATGTAAGCCCAGCCACACATGCACCTAAAAATAGGTATACTTATACGTCATGTGTGTGACTCTTGATGGGCACAGGAAGAAGGCTGCCTCTCCACCTCGAGTACACTGCTCCTTTACCCGGAGGTCTGCCAATTCTTGCCTCTCCCTAGCCTTTTCCAATTATTCAAATTCACTGGTCAAGCTACAGTCACCATGCCCTCTTGTTGAGAACTCTATTTCTTCTTCCACTGGAAGGAAGATTCTCTTCCTTTGATCTCTCCTGGTGATACATATATATATTTTTTATTGAGAGTGTTTCATATTTTGATTTAGGATGTGTGTATTAACAATGTCTTCTACAAACACCCTATAGATGGCTCCAAATATACCAATTCTCTCTACCTTAGCAGATGTGAGGGATAAACTAAGAGGGAAAGCCCTTAGGAGAGAGTTGAGTGAATAGATCACTAACAGTGGGATTACAAACAATTCACAAAAGAGGAAATATAAAAGACTAAGAAGGATTTGGAAAAGCATTCAACTTTTCTAATAGAAAGAAAAAATGCAGAATTAAAATAGCAATGTGAAAAAGAATAATAACAAGGTAAAAGAATAACAAGGAGAAAAAGAAATCAAACTACTGCTCGAGTTCGTTATTTTCTAAAACTGTCTTTGAAAAGCTAGTTGGAAATGTGTGTTAAGCATATTTACAAGCACGTTAAACATTAAAATAAGTAAATACTTAAATCTTTCAATGGCATAGTTTCACTTCTAAGAATATATTCAAAGCAAAATACTCATGATGTGGTTTAGTCCTGAGTGTTTTGGGGTACAGTTCCATGGTTGTAGGGAAAAGGTTGGGCCCTTCTGCTTTTCCCCGAGTTTGCTTATTAAGCCCAGTGATTCTCCACTCAGACTGCACATCATTATTGCATGAGAGCTTTAAATATTTCTGGTGTCCAGGAGGGATGGTCAACTCCTTAAATCCCGGTCTCTGAGTGTGGGGCTCATATTCTTAAACGTTCTCCTGCTCATTCTAATGTGCAGTTTGGGTGAAGACCCACTGGGTATTACCAACAGACCTGAATCAAATATCCTTGTAATTGATTTCAAGTTGTTCACCTCTTGGGCTTTAAATTTGAAAAAGAACGAGAAAGGAAAAAAATACCACATGACTTCAGCACTGATGGTTTTCTTGCCCCAACCTTGACATTAGGTTCACTTGGACTGTTCCCTCAGTGGACACAAGCAGAGAAAGGAAAGGTGAGCACTGGCTCTGTGCTGGGCAGGAGGAAGCAAAGAGGACAATTCAGGTTGTAGTTTCACAGGGAGCAGTTTCTATCAGGCAGGGGGAAGGGAGATGGGGAGGGAGAGGAAGGGGAAGATAGGGGAAGAAAAAGAGGACACAGTTAAGTAAACCAAATTCATTTCCGATAGTGGAGAAGACCATAGCAGAGGGTGAGCAGGTTGACATGATGGACCCAGTCTCAGGCAGCAGTCAGATGGGGCAAAACTCTCTACTGAGGATGCATCTTTGAGTTAAGACTCACTCGAGTGACAAGAAGTTCCCACCATAGAAAGACCTTTTGAGGAAATATTGGGGTGAGCTGGCAGAGCCAGTGGGAGGGCCCTGAAGGACAAAAGGGCTTGAGAGGGAGGCTGGATAGAGCCAAGCGAGCCTGGGAGAGAAACGTGGGAGTGGAGAGGGGTCAGAGAGGTAGGAATGAGTGGGACATGCCAAGGTCATGATTTTGAGGAGTTTGGGGTCTGTTTTTGTTGTTGTTTTGTTTTGTTTTTGAGATGGAATTTCGCTTTTATTGCCCAGGGTGGAGTGCAATGTCATAATCTCAGCTCACAGCACAGTGCAACCTCCGCCTCCTGGATTCAAGTGATTCTCCTGCCTCAGCCTCCCAAGTAGCTGGGATTACAGGCATGCACCACCACACCCAACTAATTTTGTATTTTTAGTAGAGATGGGATTTCTCCATGTTGGTCAGGCTGGTTTTGAATTCCCAACCTCAGGTGATCCTCCTGCCTCGACCTCCCAAAGTGCTGGGATTACAGACGTGAGCCACTGCTCCCGGCCTGGGGTCAGTTTTAAGGGCAATGGATATTCCCTGGGGACATTTGCATTTGCAAAACATCTCTGCTTAATTTGGGCCGGAAACACATAACAAAATGGACTAGGTGGTGTATAATTTATATTTTATGCAATTTATTTCTCAGAGTTCAGGAGGCTGAGATTGAAGATCAGGGTGCCAGCATGCTACTCTGGTCTGGTTCTGGTGAGGCCTCTCTTCTGGGCTACAGGCTGCTAATTTCCTGTTGTATCCTCACATGGCAGAAAGAGAGCTAGCTAACTCTCCAGCCTCTTCTTATAAGGATGCTAATCCCACTTATGAGAGCTCTACCTTCAAGACCTCATAACCTTCCAAAGGCTTAACCTCCAAATACCACATCAGGGATCAGGGTTTCAGCGTAGGGATTGGGGCCGGGGACAAACAGTCCATTGCAATCTCTCTAGCTGCCACGTGGAGTGGGGTGTGTGGTGGGAAGCTGAGCATGGTGAGATGCTGGGGTGGGGTCTTAAGTCAGGGCAGGGAGGATGAGGGGAGTAGATAGATTTGAGGCACATTTGGAGGCAAAACCATGGAGGTTTGGGGTCCTTGAGATTTCCATGCCTTTTTTGTATGTGTTCATTTTACCTTTCAACTTCTTTGCATTGTTTGGCTTTTGGTTTGCCAAATTATTCTCAACTAGCCATTTCTGATCTTTACTTTTTGTCCATTAATGAGGGATTCATTTGAAAAACGCAAGTGATCAGTGACACTCTATTAGTGAGAGTTCTCCAGAGAAACAGAACCAATATGACATGTATACATGTATAAATGCATGCATATGAATATGAGAGAGAGAGAGAGAGAGAGAGAGAGAGAGAGAGAGAGAGAGAGAGAGAGAGAGATTTATTATAAGGAACTGCTTCATGCAATCTCAGAGGGTGACAAGTCCAAAAGGAAAAAAAGGTCTGATGAGGTGGGCCAGCAGGCTGGAGATTCAGGTACAATTTATAGTTTGGATCCAGAAGCAGTCTGCTGGTAGAATTCCTTTCTGATGGGAAGATTTCTGTCTTTATTCTATTAAGGACTTCAACTGATTTGATGCACCCACCACATGATGGAGGGTCATCTGCTTTACTCAGAATCCACTGATTTAAATATTAATCTCATTCAAAGAATAGCTTCACAGAAACATTCAGAATAATGTTGACCAAATATCTAGGCACCACGGTTCAGTCAACTTAAGACATAAAATTAACCACTACAATTGTCGAATGGAATTGCTCTGGGTCTTTTATTTTTACATATTTTTATTTCTTTTAAAAATAAAAACTAAAATATAGTCATTAGAAAAAGAAAACACAAGAAAGAGAAAATGAAAAAGAGCATTCATTATTTATTTCTCTGAGAAACACTCCCTATAAACCCATGAGAGGATATCCTTTTGGGGTTTTTTTCTCCATATGAAGGTATAAAATATATTAAAAAAAAAATAGGACCATACCGCAACACTGATCATAAATTACCATAACGTATTTCAGCAGTAATGCTGGGTTTTTAATTTTCTCCAGTCGATTTCTTATTGTTGAGCATTTAGGCTGTCCCACATTTTTTGAATAACACAGCATAGAAATTTACTGGCAGAAAATGAGTTCAAATGAAACAGCAAAAATGTTAGGTGTTTCTCCCTATTCTTGTAAGAACCCTTAAAGATGCAAAAGAATTTGCAAAATCGCCTCTGAACTCAATAAAGTGATCTGTACCCCCCCCAAAAAAGCCCACATTTTCATCTTTTCAGCGAGGCTTTCGTGTTGCCAGTGTGCTTTCAGCAGATTACATGAAGGTGAATTACTGAAGCACGCTCTGCAGTGGAGGCTCCCACACAATAGACTTCAGCTGATGGGAGAGGTTTTCATTTTTTAATGAGATTCAGATTTAACATCCGATATATTAAAATTATAAATATACGACGTAGTAATTGATGGTAAGGTTTAAGGTTAAGTTTTTATTTCTACTTGTTTTCAGAAAATTCTGCTTTTATCAGCACTCATTATGCATCCTATGTCAGGAGACATAAAGATCCCCATCCTAACCTTGGAGTTTGCCACTTTCTTTTACAAAACAAAATGTTCTGCGTGTGCCTATCATTTCCTACTTGTAAGTCGTTCCTGCTCTCACAGAAAGGGTGCTGCCTCCATCTCTCTCCTCCAGGGCAGTAGGTTCAATGTTTTGCTGACTTCAATCTACTGCCAGGTGGGTTCAGAAACTAAGAGGGAAGAAGTGACTCGGATCCTGGGGGTGTTAGGTGATGGACCATGGCGGGCTTCCTGCCGCCCCCTTATTCCGGCCCCAATCTGTTTAACCTTGCAGCAGCCACAGCGATTCAGGTGCAGCTCTTAAAACCCTCTGGTAGCATCTTGCTGCAGTGAGAATGAAATCTAAACACCCTCCCATGGGCTCCAAGACCATACCCTGTCTGCTGCTCCCCATCTCTCTGAAGTTACAGGGCATAGTTCCCACCTTGGCCAGGTTGCTCCAGCCACAACAGTCAGACTTCTCCCTGCCCCAGGAAATTAGCTCTGCTTTTCCTTCCCATCCTTCAAGGCTCGGTTCTAATTTGCCTTCTTTGGGAAGATTTTTCTGGCATTTTCTCTAAAGTAGCTGCTCCCTTCCCTCACCCCCATTGTCTTGTCGTTTTTCTTGATAGTCCCATAACTATCTGGGATGATGATCTTGTATTGTTTTCTTTGATGCATCTACTGTGTGGCACCTCCTCTGGAATTTAAGCCACATGGCATCTTCTCTGCTCTGCCTCTGGTGCTGAACTCACAGTGAGCGTAAGTCACTGGACTTCATGACATCAGAACTCCCCAGATTTGTCAAGAAGTTTAGACAACTTTTCTTTGTGGAAAGGAGTATAAAATTATTTAAATTCACTCATAGATTAGAACTGCTCAAGTAGGAAGCTAGGGCTGGAGAACAGTCTGTACTGCATAGATGCATTTGTTGCTTAATTATTTACTTCAGGAATTATTAAGAAATTATGGAGCTGTCTTTTAGGAAAATGACACTTAGAAATATGCATAGTTGATTCTTATATTTGTAGTAGTTATGTTGTATAAAAACACCATGAACACTGAATTAGCAAACATGGAATCATTGCTCCTACAGGAAATAAAAGGTTTGGTTGCCTCAGGTCACAAAATTTTTGTCAAGCCATCAATGGGTTTTTTGCATGTGTGTGTGAGTTCCTGCTTAAAGATGCATAATTTAATATATGTTGTTGATTCATTAACACTGAACTCATGGTCATCGGCACTGTGACTCCTGCCTGAACAAAGTTTACCTTATTCACATATTTTCCATGTCAGGGACATCACAACCTTGTGCTTGGGAACTCTAGTGGGTTCTTCCACACCAGGCTTGGAGGCCATCTTAAACACTAAAGTTACCAACAGAACCCACAAGAATTAAAAAATAAAGCCACTATAATAGACCATACAAAAGCACACTTGTTTTCAGTATGAGAGCTGAAGCAGGAAGGCAGAATGACCCCTTGGTTCGCTTCTGTTGGTAACATGCACGCTGGGTGACTCAAGTTTTTCATCATTCTGCACTTGTCCATAGATGGTTGCCAAAGTAAGTGCTACCAGTGTTGATTTGGGGGTTACAAATAAGGTTTAGTGAGTAGGTGAGTTCACCAGTGTGGAATCCACAAATAGTGAGGATCAGTTGTCTCTGTTAAAGTGTTAGAAGCAATACTGGCCTTGCAGTTAGAACACCTACATTCTGATTTCATTTTTGTCGCTAAACTATGTACAACTTTGGCAAGTCACTTTTCCTCTCTGGGCTGCAGAAGGAAGGCATGGAAGTCAATGATTGCTAAGATAATTTATTGCTTTCATGGTGGATGATTCTGTAACTTTTTTCTCATGGGGCAGAAAGAATGGTTTATAGCATCATAAACTTCAGAAATGCATTGATCACATTCCGATAACTTTACTTTTGTGAAAGGTTGAGGTCCTGGATGAGAACAACTTGGTCATGAATTTAGAGTTCAGCATCCGGGAGACTACATGCAGGAGGGATTCTGGAGAAGATCCCTTTACGTGTGCCTTCCAGAGGGACTACTATGTGGTAAGTCTGGTGGAAGGAGACCAGACCCAGAAACTAACACAAGGAAGAGACTCACTTCAATGACCTGGAGTCACACGAAGAACTTGGCCCCTGCCTGGCTGGCATTTGGCCACACCACTAACTGTGTGGACACGGTTTCCCCTGGTGGGGGAAATGTCACACAGTGGCTGAGCATTGAGCTGTGGAGTCTGAGATCCTGAGTGATCCTGAAAATTACTTAATCCCTGGTGCCTCAGTTTCCTGTTCTTTAGCATGAGGATGAATTTCTATCAGGTAAAGTGAATACAAAGAAGCCAACAGCAAAGACAAATCCCAGACACACTTAAGATTCTTTTACAAAGGAAAATGAACACTGTGTTCCCGGCACATGTCATGTTCAATTGCAGTTGACTGTTGAATAGCATCTGTCTTCCTTACTATTTCAGGGTCAGTGAGATCAGGAACATGGCATGTTCGTTTTTGTGTCTCTCATGACCAGAACAGGTACTGTTCCACGGTGAGCAGGCCCATGCAAACCTAACACCAAAGGCCAAGGGAGCTGAGAGGCTGAAGTAAGAGGCTGCCAAATCCAGTTTCTCAGGAAACCAACCAACCAACCAAACAAACAAGAACAATTCATAGGGACTTACAAACAGAACCCATGTCTGGGGTGGAGGTGAGACCATGGATCCCCATGCCATTACCTCTCCGACCCGGTGATTATGTACTGTAGGGGATTTGACCTAAGGTCAGGATTTACAGTATGTATGTGAAAGTGGAACTCTTAGAGGGATTCCCAGAAATGGGTTAATGAGAAATCAACATGGTGGATTGGCATCTAAAGTGGAATACCTTTGGTCTCCACAGACACTTAATCAACACCCATGAGCATTAATCCCATCTGAACAGGGCAATGCCTGCAGTCCAAAATTTGCTTTCCAAAGTGTTTGCAGTCTGAGGTTTAAGCTTGTGGGTTCTGTTATTTAAAAGAGGATTGTTTAATTTGTTATTTGTTTCATGAAACTATTCACTGTGTCTCTGTTTTACAAAGGACTCATACCAAAGTGTCACAAGCTTCTATTTCTTTTCTTTTCTTTTTTTTTTTTGAGATGGAGTTTCGCTTTTGTTACCCAGGCTGGAGTGCAATGGTGCGATCTTGCCTCACAGCAACCTCTGCTTCCTGGGTTCAGGCAATTCTCCTGCCTCAGCCTCCCGAGTAGCTGGGATTACAGGCATGTGCCACCGTGCCCAGCTAATTTTTTGTATCTTTAGTAAAGACGGGGTTTCACCATGTTGACCAGGATGCTCTCGATCTCTTGACCTCGTGATCCACCCTCTTGGCCTCCCAAAGTGCTGGGATTACAGGCTTGAGCCACCGTGCCCGGCCACAAGCTTCTATTTCTAATGAAATCTGAGGGCAAAGGAGAAGAGAGTGAAGTCCTGTGGGGTTCTTCATCGTTTCTTTTTGTCTGAATGAGAATTGACTTAGGGAAGCCTACTCAGCACTCGTGGGGGAAATGTTTGCTTTTCTTAGAGACTCGTAATGGGTCAAACACCAAAGAGATATTTAAATATTCCATTTGTTTCTGCTTCAGTCTTGAGGAATTTTCATTTTGGAAAAACAAAATTCCTCTGTGAAGTTTTTCTTTCTTCGTCATTTCATCAAACCTGACAGTATTGCTTGATTTCCTGGATGGATGCTAACCCTTTCCATGAGCAGCTGAAGAGAGAACTCACTGCTTTGTCTTTTCCAGCCCACAGCCGTTTGCAGAAGCACCGTGAAGGTATCTGGCCAGCAGGTGCAGGGCGTGCGTGCTCGCTGCAGCTGGTCCTCTTACACGTCTGAGTCTTACAGCAGTGAAGAGGTATGACTGGGGCCCTGTCTCTTCCCAGACTGCATCTCTTAGGTTCTGTGGGGGTTTTTGTAAAAAGCAGAGTGGTTTGCTGGGTGGCTGGATCATCATCCAGGCTTGGGGATGCAGAACTCTGCTGCCTCTGTGGGATTCTCTCTTGGACACCTACAGCCTTATTGTCCACATCCCCTACTTCTCCCAGACTATTCTCCTGCTCTTACACACACACACACACACACACACACACTCTCTCTCTCTCTCTCTCTCTCTCTCTCTCTCTCTCTCTCTCTCTCTCTCGATTTCCCTGGGATTTGAGAAATGGCCTTAAAGTAACAATGAGCAAACCTCTGAAGTTTCAGATCTAAGTATGTGGCTCCCTGACACTGTGGTTTAGTGCAATCAAGAAGGACATATTTGTAGGACCAGTGTTCAAAACTATCTCCCAGCTCTGCAGTCCAGGTCAGGAACCTTGACCATCATTTAATCCTCACGATCCACAGCTTCTTCATCTGTTAAATGCCAGCAATAATAAAGACCACCTGAGGGGAATGGATCCAAGATGGCTGATCGCTAACATCCTGGGATTGCAGCTCTCACGGAGAACTAGAGGACACCACACTTTCAGACAAATTCTGGTCGCTCACGGAGCAGAAGATCCCCCAGTGGAGGAAACACACGGGTGGCCAGCGCTACTCTCCAGGCCGGCACAGCGGTTCCGCCGGCACCTCGGCGCGGCAGCTCTCTGAGCAGAGTAAACAGGTTCGGAGGACCCACAAGGGTCCCCAGCAGGACACCAGAGCCCGGTGCAGCGGCTGTGACGGCACCTCGGCACGGCAGCGCTCGGTGCAGAGTAAACGGGACCGGTTCCCTTCTGACCGAGGTTTGGAGCCCCGGGAAGGCAGAGTCGCCTACTATGGACACAAGAAGGAAGCCAGACAGGAGAATCCTGGGCAGAAAAGCACCATCAGTTTTAACGCCTCTGCTCTGGCCCTGGGAACTAACAACCTGGACGTCCACTCAAGAGACCTAATCTGAAAGTTGGTAATTTCAAAGACGACAGGAGGATAAATTTACAATGATGGGAAGAAACCAGCGTAAAAAAGCTGAGAATACTCAAAGTCAGAACGCCTCTCCCTCTAAAGATGATCACAGTTCCACATCAACAGTGGAACAAGGCTTGATGGAGAACGAGCGCATCCTGATGACAGAATCACTCTTCAAGGAATGGATAATAAGAAACTTCGGTGAGTTAAAAGAACACATTGTAGCCCAATGTAAAGAAACTAGGAACTTTGAAAAAAGGTTTGATGAAATCCTATTGAGAATAGACAACTTAGAGCGGAGTATGAGTGAATTAATGGAACTAAAGAATACAATACAGGAACTCCGAGAAGTATGCACAGGTTTAAACACTCGAATTGTTCAAGCAGAAGAAAGGATATCAGAGGTCAAAGTCCAACTTAATGAAATAAAACGTGAAGAAAAGATTAGAGAAAAAAGGATAAAAAGGAATAAGCAAAGTCTCCAAGAAATGTGGGACTATGTGAAAAGACCAAATTTACGTTTGATAGGTGTACCTGAATGCCACGGAGAGAATGAATCCAAGCTGGAAAATACCCTTCAGGATATTATTCAGGAAAATTTTCCTAAACTAGCAAAGCAGGTCAATATTCAACCCCAGGTAATACAGAGAACACCACAAAGATATTCCTCAAGAAGAGCAACCCCAAGGCACATAATCGTTAGATTCACCAGGGTTGAAACGAAGGAGAAAATACTAAGGGCAGCCAGAGAGAAAGGTCAGGTTACCCACAAAGGCAAGCCTATCAGACTCACAGCAGATCTCTCAGCAGAAACTCTACAAGCCAGAAGAGTGGGGGCCAATATTCAACATCCTCAAAGAACAGAACCTTCAGCCCAGAATTTCATATCCAGCCAAACTAAGCTTCACAACTGAAGGAAAAATAAAATCTTTTATGAACAAGCAAGAACTCAGAGATTTTATTACCACCAGGCCTGCTTTACAAGAACTTCTGAAAGAAGCATTACACACAGAAAGAAACAACCAGTATTAGCCTTTCTAAAAATACACCAAAAAGTAAAGAGCACCAACATAAAGAAGAATTTACACCAACGAATGGATAAAACAGCCAGTCAACATCAAATGGCAGTAACCCTAAATTTAAATCGACTAAATCCCCCAATCAAAAGACACAGCGAAAACCCAACGGCAGGTTACATCCAGACCTGTTTCACATGCAAGGATACACAAAGACTCAAAACAAAGGGATGGAGAAAGATTTACCAACCAAATGGAGAGCAAAAATAAATAATAAATAAATAAAAAGCAGGAGTTGCAATTCTCGTAGCGGATAAAATAGATTTTAAGCAACAAAGATATAGTGGTAAAAGGATCAATACAACAACAAGAGCTAATGATCCTAACACCCAGGTACATAGAGACTTAGATTCAATGAGACAGAAAATTAATAAGGATATCAAGGACTCGAACTCAGATCCGGAACAAGTAAACTTAATAAATATTTATAGAGCTCTCCACTTCAAATACACAAAATATACATTCTTGTCAATACCACATCACACCTACCCATAGGTTTAAATGAAACATTGATTGGCCATTATTAATACCCAATTTTTTTCAGAATAAAGCAATATTTCCATTTACTCTCCCTCTTTCTCTTCCTCTTTCTTCCTCTCCTTTACTTATCTTTTTTTCTTTCCTTCTCTCAAAAAAAAGAAATCATCGTGTAAACCTCTAGATCCAGGTCGGCAATGTCTCTCTCATTGCTTGAATTCCTTCCTTCCCTTCCCTCCCTCCCTTCCTTCCTCCACCCTTCCTCCCTTCCTTCCTTCCTTCATCCCTGCCTTCCTCCCTACCGTCCTCCTTCCCTCCCTTCCTGCCTTCCTCCAAAAAAAAAAAAAAAAAAAAAAAAGACCACCTGATAGGTTGTTCAAAGAATGTGGTAAGCTGATGATCATGAAGGGTCTGGCCTGGCACTGGGATACTCACTGGGTGGCAGGAACCTTATTTTTCCTCAACTGCATTAAAAGTGATTTGCAATCATACTGTGAGATTAATAATATGTACAGTTTTGCCTTGAAATTATATTATATATTTGTCTGATTATTGCCTGTTTTCCTTACTAGACTGTATGTCTCATGAGGGCAGGGAATGTTTGTTTTTGTCAGCCTAGGACAATGTTTGACACAGCTCACGAAATACTTGCATAAATGCAAGAAAACTGGGGAAGAAATGGACAAGAATATAATGTGAAGAGGCCATCTCTTCACTCTAAACTAGGGATAAAAACGTGACATATTATTTGTCACATTATATTATTTGTCATTGTTTTATTATCAACAGATTTTTAAAAATGTTTCCAACATTATATGGATGATTCTGTCAAACATAATCTTTCTTTCCATTTTATATTTTTGTTCAGTTTTTCAAGGTTTAACTCTGTACTAAAAATTAAATGAAAATATTATAAAATTTCTACTTTAAGAATTACACATAAAAGTTAATTTTTCCACATAATTAACATACTCACACCTTAACTATTCTGTCTGGAAGTACATTTTAGAATTAGAAAGTAGTGAAACTCATGACTGAGACGCTCCTATCACAGAGGATGGCCTTATTGGTACAAAGAGGACTTCGCAGTTTATTAGGACTTTCTCCACAAAACGTTCAGTTGAGCGTGGCCTTATTGATTGATCCCGTTCACACTGGCAACTTTTGAGGGTCAACTCTCAGGTGATCTCTGAACTCGTCCTGGAGCCATAGTTGAAGAATCCTTTCTGAGTGCTGGTGCGGTGAGCAAGGGCCTGCTTCCCTACACCCTATTGAAATATTGAGGAAGTTGAATACATTCTGCTGTAACACACTCATACACTATGGTCCAGCTAACACAGAAATGACAAGGGCCAAACTTATCACTTCACAAATCTTTTGTTAGTCTTGATTTGTGGTTTATATCAGAAAAAAGACAGTGGGGAGAAAGACAAGCACAGTCCTAGCCTTCGTGGAGTTTATAGACATATCTGGGGAAAGGTACCCACTAGGCAGGAATTATCCTGACTGCCAGGCAGGCACTGGGGACCACATAGTGAGAGGAATGCATGTCATGTGGGGAGCAGACAGCATCCTTCAGGAACTGACCTTCCAGTCAAGAACTGGAAGGTGGGTGGAAGTCAGAACAGATCAGGCAGAGGGTGGAGGGGGATGGGTATTTCAAGTATAAGGGAAATCATGTGGGGTACCCTGGATTGCCATAAAAGCTGATGGGTTGAAATGGACAGAACTCCATTATAACAGGAATGAGAAAAATATGGTGGGGGGTGCGGTGGCTCATGCCTGTAATCTCAGCTCTTTGGGAGTCCGAGGTGGGTGGATCACGAGGTAAAGAGATGGAGACCATCCTGGCCAATATAGTGAAACCCCCGTCTCTACTAAAAATACAAAAATTAGCTGGGCCTGGTAGCATGCCTGTAGTCCCAGCTACTCAGCAGGCTGAGGCAGGAGAATGGCTTGAACCCTGGAAGCAGAGGTTGTGGTGAGCCGAGATCAGGCCACTGCACTCCAGCCTGGCAACAGAGTGAGACTCCGACTCAAACAAACAAACAAACAAACAAACAAACAAACAAACAAACAAACAACATGGGGAGAGAGGCACAAGGTGGTGCCAGAGGAGCATTCGCAGTCAAGATGGACTTCGAGGGTCTTGTTGAGGACGCCTGGCTTTATCCTAATGACACGGGGGATATGAAAGGGATTTAAGTGTGTGTATGTTGGGAGTGGAGGATGGTGACAGAATCAGATGATGAATAGATTGGAACTAGGTAAGAAAATATATGAAATAAACAACAGGTGAGAGAGAATGCTAACTGGGTCTAGGGTTTAGTAGTGAATGTTGACAGAAATAGATTCTGGTTCATTTTATGACCGTTAACACAAAATCAATTTACTAAATGATTAGCTAAGTTAACCCCTCTTCCACCCCTGATTTAATGGGTTCTAATTGTTTCTGTTGCAACTTTCGAATTGCGTAGTGAAGTCCACTCTCTTTTCTTCCAATTCCAAGTTTCTAAGAAGACTCAGATATTAAGTTAGCCCTTCGAACAAACTAGATCTTAAAATAAACTTCCAGGTTGCTTGTCCTGAAAGATTAGGTGATTGTAAAATATTTTGAGCAAATCTATTTAAAAAATTCTCAAATTTAAAAATTCTATAATTCAAAAAAAAAAGAAGAAAGCAGTTAGAGACTTAAAATTCCTGGAAACTCTGAAATGAATTTCTTACATGAAACAGAAGAGAGGAAAGGAGAGAACAGCTGGTAATCATTTTCAGTGAAAAAAGTGATAATATTATAAATAAGAAAGATAATAGGCTATGATAAATTTAGTCATAGAACAAATAAATTATTGTTGGAAGGAAGAAATAGAAGAAACAAAACTAAAAAAACCTCCCAGAGCAATAAAAATAAAGATCACATGATAAACATATAGAGAATGTAGAAGAATTTTCAGAGTGAGAAATATAAGGTGAAGAAAAATGGAAGCCATAGCAAATAAGCCCCAAAATCCAAATTATGACTAATAAAGACATAGAGCAAGTCTGGTAAGGACATAATGAGAGACCTGAATATAAAATGTTTGGACTTTCCATGACCTGATTTTAACAGGTATAGTAACCATAAAAAATTGAGAAAATAAATTTCTAAATTTGGAAATATTCTTTTGTCCTTAACCAAATAGATATGTGAATTATTGGTAGCTTTTATTATTTCTTTTTCAATCCTGAAAGAGAAATACGTAGAGGAGAAAAGCCTTCCACATGGCGTATAAGCACTCACTCAAGCTCACCATGGTGCAGGCGTCACCAGGAGCACAAAGCTGAAATGGTACAATTTAGTACAATTGTAGGTTGGTACAAGCTCTCTTTCTCTCTTCAGTTTCTAATAAGTAAGCTTGACCTTAGACATATCCTTCTGATTTGGAGTGGATAGAATACAGTCAGCTAGGGTTTCAGAGAAGAGGCCCAAAATAGTCCAAGAGAAAGAAACTGAGGAAGAATTACGACAGGAATTCTAAGCTCAAGGGAGGGGTGACAGGCATCTAATTTATTTACTGCCTTTCATTTAAAAAGGCAGATATTCAACTAGAAGTAGTCGAAACCAAAAAGAGAGAATTCCCTGGATCACATTCCCAGAAAGGAAGGAGAGAAGTTGGCCTCATGGACAACTCGACTGAATGTCCTCCCATCCTGTATGTGCCACATTCTTCTCCTTCCCCTTCTCTCCCCGTTTCCCCTGTCATCTCCCCCCTCTCCTCCTCCTCTTTCTCATTCCCCTGTCTCTCTCACTCTCTTCTTCCCTTCTCTCCTCCCTCTCCCTCTCCTTCTTCTTCCTTCTCTGCCTCCTCAGTCTTATCCTCCTTCCTCTCTCTCTGTCTCTCTTTCTCTTTCTCTCTGTCACTGTGCCCCCCTGACTCTACGCCCACCTTTACTGCAGAGAGGCTTTTTCCTTGCAGTAGGAAATAGAACCTCAAGCTACTCCAGACTTAGGTCCTCTGTACTTGTGTGTCCAGACTTCTGTCCTCTGTACTTACAGGGAAAAGGAGGCATTTCTCTCTATTGCCAGTTAGGGAAACCTCTTGGCATTGCTCCTATTGGCCTGGCTTTGGTGTCGCCTCTTTTTTTTTTTTAATCTTTTATACGTTTATAACTTTATTATGAATTTATCTTAAATTTTATATCTTTACTGTGTAAAATGTGATGTTTTGATATCCCCCTTTCAAAATACATTTTGGTGGAGAGATAATTTACATATCATAGAATTTGCCCTTCTAATGTGTATAGTTCAATGGTTTTTACTATATTCACAAATACCACCACCATTTAAATCCAGAACACTTTCATCGTGCTGAAAAGAGACCCCAATAACAGTCGTTCTCTATTCCTCCTTCCTCCCAATGCCTGGAAAACCACTAGTCCACCTTGTGTGTCTATGGATTTGTCCATTCTGATCATTGCACACAAATGGGGTCATACAGCCTGTGTTGTTTTGTGACTGACTTGTTTCCCTTAGCATCCTGTTCTGGAGGTTTATCTGTGTTGTAGCATACATCAGTGCTGCATTCATTCCTATTGTTCCATTTTATGGAGCCACATTGGATCGATCCATTCGTTCGTTGATCGAAGTTTGGTTTATTTCTCCCTCTTTGGCTATCATAGATAATGATGCTAGAAGCATCCATGTGCAAGTTTTTGTGAACACGTGTTTTTGATTCTCTCGGGAACAGAATTCCTGGATCATATAGTAACTCCATGTTTAATGACCATATAGTGACTTTGTGTTTAACTTTTTGAGGAACTGCCACATCTTTTCCATAGTAGCTGTACCATTTTACATTCCTACCAGTAATGTTGGAGGATTTCCATCTCTATACATTCTTGTCAATATGTGTTGTGCCTGTCTTTTTTATTTTAGCCATTCTAGTGTAGGTTTTTTTTTTTTTAACAGAGTCTCACTCTGTCACGTAGTCTGGAATGTAGTGGCACAGTGTCGGCTCACTATAACCTCTGTCTCCTGGGTTCAAGTAACTGTAGTGCCTCAGCCTCCCAAGAAGCTGAGACTACACATGTGTGCCACCACACACAGCTAATTTTTGTATTTTTAGTATAGACAGGGTTTTGCCACATTGGCCTGGCTGGTCTCCAACTCCCGGCTTCAGGTGATCTGCCTGCCTCAGCCTCCCAAAGTGTTAGGATTATGGGTGTGAGCCACTGTGCCTGGCTCTCATTATGGTTTAATTTACATTTTTCTAATGACTAATGATTGGCCATTGTACATCTTCCTTGGAGAAATGTCTATTCAAATCCTTGCTTATGATTGAATTGCACTATTTGTCTTTTCATTGCATTGTTTTGAAATATTTTCTCCCCCTCTGTGGGTTGTCCTTTACTTTCTTGATGGTGTCCTTTGAAGAGCAAAATCAAATTTTGATGAAGTCTAGTTTACCTGTTTTTTATTTTGTTGCTTCTGTAGTCTTACGTGAGGTCTGTGATCCATGTTGATTTGATTTTTGCATATGATGCGAGGAAGGGGTCTGGCTTCATTCTTTTGCACATGCATATCCAGTTGTATCAGCACTATTTGTTGAAAAGAGTATTATTTCTCTCTTAAATTGCCTTGGTGTGTGTTCCTGGTCCAATCACTGTGATGGAGGCCAAGAGACTACCTGTGACTGTGCAGGATAGAGAGGGCAGCCTGCCAAGACTCTTGGTAGGAAGACTGTGAGCCAAGCAGCCACTTCGCTCTGTAATGATTGCATGGACTTTCAGTGGTCTCATAAAAACTTCTTGTGGACAACTTTTCCTACTGAACATATTATGGCGACTTTGTAGAGAGAAAGCTCTAAAATTGGACCTAAACTTAGTCTTTGTGCAAGTCTGTGTAACAGAGTTTTGCCTTTCTGGGGATCGGCAATGTTTGGGAGTACGTTTTCAGTCTAGGGAAAGATCGGTGGGCAATTTACACTTCATGTAGGTTGCTCTTTCCCATGTGTTTTTTAGACTCATGTGTTTGACACCATATAAAGTTATTGAATATAACGTATTGCCTATTTCATTGAAAATGGATTCTATAACCTATATCAGAGGCTTCCAGGTGACATTTACATTTTTCAGTGTCTTTCCTTTTTCTTTCTTTCATGTGCTGACACATTCTGATGCCTACATTTCTTCAGATGATTTTTGGGGACATGTTGGGATCTCATAAATGGAGAAACAATTATCCATTTGGTAAGTTAAGGTCTATTTTATTTAAGTTTTTTGCTTAAAATAACTTCATATTGCAGCTTTTTGTTAGTGAGTCACTTAAAACTAGAAATATATATGTATATAACCTTTGAACAATTACAGTCATAGAAAATTAACATTTTGTTTTGCTTTTGCTCATTTCTTATCACTAGATAATAATGATACAACTATTCATTTAGATATTCCTTTGTATTCACAACAGAGCTTTTTCATACCTAATTCCATTTGATGGCACCAACATCTCTGCCAAGTGAGCAGAGCTGGTATTGGTTTTCCCCTTAAGAATGTGTAGCTGGGAGAATCAGAACTAAACAGGGTTAATTCTATCATCTTTCAGCCATACCACTAGAGCTAATCATCTCTTTGAGTGTCTTGGTTCAGGGAGAAAGGGCTCTCCTTCTTCCTTTTCTTGTGTGGCCTTTAATACAAAGTAGGTTGGGTTAGTGTTCTATGACTTAGGAGGTGTTTTTACTATTAGTGCTGCTGGCAACAAAACTCAATGGTGATCTCTCACTGTGTCTTTGCTTAAGAAGTATGTTTGTGGCATTAATAATAAAGTCATAGAACATTCTGGAGTAGTCAGAGGAGTCTTGTCTTATGATTATTACTGTGTTGCAGGTCTCATTCCAGATGAGTCCATAAGTGAACAACTGTATGATCGATCACTTGGTAAGTTGTCTCTGTCCTGCTGTGCCACCAGACCCTTTTCTGATCAATCTGGACTCCTGAGAAATCCTATTTTACAGCTGTTTCCTGTTCCGTAGGAGTTAAATCTCTGACATGCAAAACATTTTAAGTAAAAATGAAAAGAATAGTAATGAATAAACTTGCTTTGCATTGAAAAGGTAACCTTGAGGCACTAACTGACTTAAAGTTACCAAGAGTCAAAATATCAAATCTGGCTCAGGAAATAAGCATTGACTTTTTTTTTTTTTCTGGAGCATTTTAAAAAAATAGCATGAACTCTAATAATCTTCTTTTTTTAATTAAAAATATTTTTAGTTTTTATGGGTATATACGAGGTATATATATATATTTATGGGGTATATGAGATATTTTGATACAGGCATACAATGTACCTAATGATCTTCTTTTTGCCATATTTAACCAAACTTCTCATCAAATGGATGAAACTAAGTTATTTTGTCCCTCTCCTATACAGATTAGTTTTCTCATTTGGTCCTCGTGATGGCCCTGTAAAGTGTGTTACCCACTTACGCAGACGAAGAAAGCAGTAAGAACTCATGACATTAATTGGCATATGCAAATTACCTACCCTGTACTAACTGTAACATAATTTTCTCCTTCTGTGGGGTAGGACTATGTTCTTTCCCATTTGTAGGTGAGTTAATTGAGGCTTAGTGAGTTTCTGTAATTTGCTTGTGGCTACATTGCCAATGTAGGACTTTAATCAGATTTGTCAGAATCTAAAACCTGTGCCTGTTTGATGCTGCTTCCCAGAAGAGATGCAAAATCCACCTGATGTTCAGCATTTCCCATTAAAATGAATAACACAAACATGAATATTTCAGTGAGCTCAAAGTCTGACCTTCATTAGGCATACTCCAGTTTATCTGAAGTGCTCGGCTTATAACTTGATGCTTGATTTTGTTTTAATGCCTGTTTTATACCTCATCCAAGTTGTCACTTTGGGAGAATATACAGTTATTATGATGGCATGACCACTGCTGAAATGTTTTTATGAACTTTAGGAATTGTCCTCAGAATCCATGAGTTTTTTTTTTTTTTTTTATACTTTGAATCTCATTACTGGTGGCAAATATCTGTCCTTGGATTTGATGTTGGAAATATCTAAAAGACATTTGGAAATAAATCTGATGAATCAGATTAATAATCAACTTGGGCATGTTGGTTGTCTATTGCTATATATCAAATTACCCAAAAATTTGACAGCTTAAAACAACACACATTTAGTATCTCACAGTTTCTGAGGGTCAAAGACCCAGGAGAAACTTAGCTGGGTGGTTCTGGCTCAGGGTCTATCAAAAGGTTTCAGACAACATGTTGATTGGGCTGTGATCTCATCTGAAGCTTGTCTGGGGCTGAAGGAGCCACTTCCAAGCTCACTCATATGCTATTGGGAAGCCTCAGTTCTTCACAAGATAGTAGACGAAGGGCTTCAGTTTCTCACCATAGGACCTTTCCATAAGACTTCTGAATATCTTCAAAACATGACAGCTGGATCCCCCCAGAGATGATGATTTGAGAGAAAGAGAGAGAGGAGAAAGGGGAGAGAGAGAGAGAGAGAGAGAGAGAGAGAGAGAGAGAGAGAGAGAGAGAGAGAGAATGAATGAGCAAGCAAGAGCACCCAAGACAAAAATCACAGTCTTTTATAACCTATGTTTTGAAGTGATGTATCATCACTCTGCATAGTTTATTATTAAACACACAAGGCAGTCCTGCCCCAGTGTGGGAAGGGACTGCCCAGGAGTGTGAATACCAGAAAGCTGTCTTGGAAACTGATGACTGGACAAATGCCATTTAAGACTAAAAATATTATATGGATATAAATTAATGTGACCAATTCTTTTATATGTCTCAGAAGAGATTTCTAAGTCAAAATCTAAAACCACATTGGGCCTGGGGGAGCATCATTGACACAGAAGTACAGCTGTCTTAGAGACTGCTTTGAACATGATGATTTAAATTAATTTGACAAATGTGTGTGACAAGCACTGGGCAGATCCCATGGAGGACTGAAAGATAAATGTGGCAGTTCCTTCCCTCAGGGGCATCCATGGTGGTTGTGATATCACATGTGGTAATACAGAGTGGGGAGAAATGTGTGCTGGACCCAGCTGTAACACAACACAGGGGAGAAGGAGAGAAAGTGGAATAAAGAAGAAGTTATTGCATCCCCAGGTATTCTCGTGGCAGATGGGTTCGGGTTATGCTTGTCACAGTGCTTCTCATTAATTTGTAGTCACATAGTCCACACCATCTCAGGTCTTCATGTGACTGACAGAGCCTATGCTTCCCTTTTCTGTGTTTAGAGATCATGAGAAGGGCTTTTCCTCCTGGAAATAGAAGGTACCCAAATTACCGGCACAGAGCAAGAATAAATACTGACTTTGAGTAACAGCCTTGAGGTAAGAAAACACAGGTGAACACATGTGTATTTAGAAATAGAAGCCACGTGGAGTGAATGCATTAAAACTGCCGACCTCCAAATATCTGCAATGTGCTATTCAAATCCTCACCTTTCGGCTTCTCTGACTTCCTCCCAAGACTTCTCCTCAGTTACCTCTTCAATCTCATGCACCTCGATCTTTTTCCCATGACATTTGTCTCTGTTGCCACTGATGTGATTAAGTCTGTTCACTTGAAGAGCAAGCAAACCACAAGGGCACAGCTCCTTCCTTTGGCCATCTCATCCATCCAAGCAACTGCCTTCCCTCCATCCTTCCTTCCCTGCTAAACTTTTAGACCCAACTGTGGTCTCTGGTTGCTTCCTCAACCTCCTCACCTCATCTATGAAATCTGATCTAGCTTCCTTTTATTGATGAGTACTTTATTAATTGTTTATTTTTCAAGAGGGAGTTTTGCTCTTGTCGCCCTCACTGGAGTGCAATGGTGCGATCTTGGTTTACTGCAACCTCTGCCTCCTGGGTTTAAGAGATTCTCCAACCTCAGCCTTCCTAGTAGCAGGGATTATAGGCACCCGCCACCACGCCCAGCTCATATTTGTATTTTCAGTAGAGACAGGGTTTCACCATGTTAGCCAGGCTGATCTCAAATTCCTGACCTCAGGTGATCCACCTGCCTTAGCCTCCCAAAGTGCTGGGATGCCCAGCCAGTGTATAATTTAAACACCGGTGAGCATTTGTATGATCTCCTTAGTTTAATCATTTTCCAATTCTGTAGACTACTTTTTTTTTTTTTTTTTATGGAGATGGGGTTTCACCATGTTGGCCAGGCTGGTCTCGAACTCCTGACCTCCTGATCTGTCCGCCTTGGCCTCCCAAAGTGCTGGGATTATGGATGTGAGCCACTGCACCCAGCCGATTACTCTTTTATCTCTTCTTCTTGCTTGACTTTAATTATCAATGATGGATGATTATTTCCAAACACGTCTCTTACTACACTCTATGTCTGGAACCAGGCCCTTATATCAACTGCCTATTGAATGCAGTTGCCACTGGGCATCCTGGGAGTCCCTGAAACTCAACTGGCTTCTACCAAGCTCCCTTTCTTAACTCATGGCATCACCATACACCTAATTTGCTCAGGCTAAAGATCTTGAGGGCATCACTGACTCCCCTTCATCCTTCATCTTCTCGTAACATACATAGGGGTCCAGTCTTGTTCATTTCCCCAACACGTTTTCTCTGGCATTGGCCCATCATTTCACTACTATCACCAATGAACTGTTGATTGTATTCTTGCCTTAGGTTCTGATCCCACGTTGTCTACCTTGCTTGCTGTCTTCAGGCTTATTGTGAACATGGAGAAGACTCTGATCCTTGCCCCGTGTAAACTCTCTAATGGTTGCTTCAGCTGTGGAACTGAGCAGAGCTGGGCAGCAACCAGACACTGAACGGCCCATCTGCCCCAGTTCTGTAGAAAGCTAGAGATGGAGTCCTGGTTTGTCACCCTGACACTGAGCTTCATAGAGTCCCACATGTGTATCAATTCCCTGCTACTAGTGATGGGATTGGAGCAAATGTAGCTCGCGTGAAGGGCACACGTAAGAAGAATCTCAAGATGGAATGATAGAGGTTGATTCCATACATAGGTATTTTACATGCACACACATGCGTTAATAATGAAGCTGGAGTGTTCACGGGCTTTACAGTCTGTGTAATGCTGCATGCTTGCGGTATAAAGTCCAAACTCCAAGTGTAGCTCACGATGGCCTTCATGACCTGGCTCCGCCCACATCTCCAGCCTCGCCTCTCCCAAGTCCTCCTGGCCCCTCTGCTCCTGTAGCACTGAGGTGCTTGCAGCTTCTTTGGCTGCTGCCTCTACCAGGATCATCCACCTGACTAGCTCTGTCTCACTGTTCAGGTCCCAGCTCAGCTGTCGCTTCCCTTTGGAGGTCCTTGCTGACACCACAAACCACCACCACTGGATCGGAGATGATGTCCCTGATTGGGCCTCTGTAAGGTCCTCATCACAGGGCCTGCAATAGGCTGTTTCCTGACACCCATCTGACTACCAGACTCCCCAAGAGCAGGTCTCAAGAAACTTCAGCTGCCACTGTCCCTGGTGCCCTTCACACAGCCCGACACACCCAATAAATCACACTCAGTACATATTCTTTAAGTGAATGACATCCTTCCCTTTGGGTTCTTGAAATTCTTTTTCCAAAAAATCAGTTAAGCATAGTATAATTAATTTTTAACCATGGAATCTGAAAGAAGTCAACTGACATTTTACTAAAATAGAAGGGAAACTTACCAGTGAGTACTTCTTGGATGAAAGACACAAATGGTAGGTTTTCTTTTTAATCTATGGTGCAACTCTAAAAATAAAAACCAGTTCTGTGCTGAGATCAAGAAACCACTCATTATGAAGAAACAGACACATCATATTCCCTTTTTATAAATGTAAATGATATAGTTTTTTCTTACAGAACATCATGGGTTGGGGGCAGGGAGGATAGAGTTCTTGATGGATTGGATTTTTCATTTTTTAGTAATATGATAACGTTGGGGGTGTATACATATGCGTATTGCAATATAAAGCCATCATCTGATTTTTATGAAGAGATTGATCACTCAAAGCATTTATTTTTAAAGACAGCACTGACTAAAGAGCCGCGCCACAGCCCTGACCTGAACACAGGATTTGACTGAAGTCCCAGTTATGGCTCTGCCCTCCCATGACCTTTAGCAGGGCAGGTTTCTGCACTGCGCTGGGTTCCCTGAAATCAGAGAGTGAAGCTGGTGAGGCCAGCACAGTGGGTCTAATGAGGAGGACAATTCGATGGGATCTGGAATCCACAGGCCTGGTTCTGAGCCTGCTCTCCCATCTGTGAATTCCTTAACCTCTCAGGGTGCAATTCCTTCAAGAGTCTATTATTACTTTTTCCTTATTTTTGTCCATACTAGACCATAAACTTACTTTCTTTCTTTCTTTCTTTCTTTCTTTCTTTCTTTCTCTTTCTTTCTTTCTTTCTTTCTTTCTTTCTTTCTTTCTTTCTTTCTTTTCTTTCTTTCTTTCCTTTCTTCCCTTCCCTTCCCTTCCTTCCTTCCTTCCTTCCTTCCTTCTTTCTTTCCTTCTTTCTTTCTCTCTCTCTTTCTTTCTCTCTCTCTCAATTTCTTTCTTTCTCTCTCATTCTCTCTCTTACTTTCTCTCTTTCTTTCTTTCTCTCTCTCACCCTCTCTCAATTTCTTTCTTTCTTTCTTTCTCTCTCTCTCTCAATTTCTTTCTTTCTCTCTCATTCTCTCTCTCTTACTTTCTTTCTTTCTTTCTCTCTCTCGCTCTCTCAATTTCTTTCTTTCTCTCTCTCTTTCTCTCTTTCCTCTCTTTCTTTCTTTCTCTTTCTCTCTCTCTTTCTTTCTTTCTCTTTCCTTCCTTCTTTCTTTCTTTTCTTTTCTTTCTTTTCTTTCTTTCTGCAATGGAGTCTTGCTCTGCCACCTAGGCTAAAGTGCAGTGGCACAATCTCTGCTCACTGAAACCTCCGCCTCCCAGGTTCAAGCGATTCTCCTGCGTCAGCCTCCCAAGCAGCTGGGATTGCAAGCGTGAACAACCACACCCAGCTAATTTTTGTATTTTTAGTAGAGATGGGGTTTCACCATGTTGGCCAGGCTGGTCTCAAACTCCTGACCTCAAGAGATCTGTCCGCCTTGGCCGCCCAAAGTGCTGGGATTACAGGTGTGAGCCACTGCCATAAACTTCTTGAGGATGCATTCTCCTTGTTAATTATTTCAGTTTTATAATAAGTAAAAATATTATTAATGAAATATCTACATGAAATTATTAAAAATATCCTTTGTCAATTTCATAGTGCTAAGAACAGTGTATAGAATATAATCTATCAGGCTGGGAGGAAAGAATGAATGAATACATGACCAGAAACAAAATTACTCTTTTCAAATTGTGAGTGACATTCTTCCACTAGGGAATTCCTTGAAGGTAGAGACTTTGGCTTGTTTCTTATGGAATCCCCAGAGCCCTAAACACTGTTCTAGGATTCTTCAGTGTTACCAGAAAATGATTTAATGTGTGAGTGGATAGTGAAATGTAATATTTAAATGAAATGGTCTAAATTTTTTTTCTTATTTATTACTCTAAGGTAGGAAAGAAATGCAGAAAATCAGGTCTCACCTCTCATGTTGAAAAAAAATCTATTGGAGAATCTTAGACTTCCTTATCTTTGTGGCTGGAATAGTTCAGTTCTGACTTTTCAATTATGTAGTAGCCAGAAGACCCTCAGCACCCAAACCATAGCCATGTGAGTGATGCATTTTTCTTTATGTCAGAATCTTGATTATTAATGTGGAGTTCTTAAACTATGACAAAACGCAGCAAAGGGGACAGTTCTCATTGAGACCTTTTGTTAATAAGGACATAGTAAAATGAATAAGTGTCATGATCCACTTGTTCAACAAATGTTCATTAAATGCCCCTTTGTGCCTGGCCTCTGTGCCCATCAACATTACAGCGCTCAGGTGTGACTGGGTCTGTGTTTGGACCCATCTCATACACTGCCTTGCGTGAATCTTGCAGCAATCAAATGAAATTTTACTCGTATTGCTATCTCTGTTTCATAGAGAAGGAAGCAGAAGCAGAGGCATCTAGAGGTCCCTGCTCTCAGAGACGGTGTTGGGATTGGGATTTAACTCTTGATGTCTGTGTTTCCAAAGCCTCTTCCTTTTTCCTTCCTGTGATTCTCATATTTCCGTATTTAAAAAATAGCACGAGAGGGCAAAATGTCAAGGCTTATTTGTTTAAGAATCATTTGCCGTGTGTTGGATGAAACTAGAAATGTAGTCACCAACTAGATGGCAAAGAATTTAATTGATTGGAAGTGTTAGCATGATATCTGCTTATCATCAACTATGTGGGAGAACTGGTCCCCAAAACCTACCACGTCCACTGGCTTTCTGAGTGATTTCCACATTCAGGTATCAGACTCATTCGTGACAATGTCCTATCATGGTCACCCATGACAGCCCACCTATTGAAGAGAGCAAGAGACCCCAACGGAGACTCCAGAGGCAGAGACTTGACTATGTGCTCTTGTATTCATTTACCCTTTCTCTGATTCACATTCACTGGACACTATTAATTACTGCACCAAGTAGAGTGGGCTCTTTTTATTTGAGGCAGCCATGGTCTATAAAGTTGCTTTGGACATTGAATTAGGAAATATGAAATCATTGCTGGTATAGGAAACACAGGATTAGCGTTCTTTGAGCCTCTTTTCCCAACATTTTCCTCAACTGATTGGCATATAACTTTGTTTTGTGTGTGTTTCTATTTAGAAACTGTATTTAATAGATACTGTTGATTCACTAACGATGAACTCATGGCCCACAGCGCTATCACTCATGCCTGAATGAAGCTTCTCTAACACACGTATTTTCTCTGCAAGGCACATCACGGCCTTTTTGCACTTAGCAATACTTGACAGCACTATACTTGGGGGCTATTTTAAGTGGTGACATCATCAACAAAAAGCAAAAAAATGCCAAAAGTGGGGCGCTAAACAGACCGCGAAAAGGACACTTGGCAGCAGGAGAGCTGAGACGTGGAGGCAGAGTGTTGCCTTGCCTGACCTCAGCTGAGAAGGTGTGGGCAGGATGGCTCCAATTGTTTGCCGCTCTGAGAGTGTCTGAGAATGAATGAGAAAGCACCACGAGTACTGATTTCGGGGTATCAAGTAACTGTTAGTGAGCAGTGAGTAGGTGAATTCTCAAATACGGCATCTGTGACTAATGAGGACTGACTGCAGAGTGGGTGCCCGACCCCTGGTTTATCCCTAGCTTGTCATTACCTTCCCTCGATCTCTTCTCATCCTGTCTTTTTTTTTTTTGAGACAGAGTTTTGCTCTTGCTACCCAGGCTGGAGTGCAATGGCGCGATCTCGGCTCACTGCAACCTCTGCCTCCTGGGTTCAGGCAATTCTCCTGCCTCAGCCTCCTGAGTATCTGGGATTACAGGCACACACCACCATGCCCAGCTAATTTTTTGTAATTTTAGTAGAGACAGGGTTTCACCATGTTGACCAAGATGGTCTCGATCTGTTGACTTTGTGATCCACCCGCCTCGGCCTCCCAAAGTGCTGGGATTACAGGCTTGAGCCACTGCGCCCGGCCTCATCCTGTCTTTTTAAAAACGCCATCTGCATGTGTTCCCCAGGGCTTCACGCAGTCTCTCCTCCTGCATCTGACACTGCCCTGCTCCGTAGCCACCTCTTCGCTACACATCCACCCCTTTTCCTCCTGGACCTCACAGCCATTCTGGATGTGGATGACCACTCCTTCTTTCCTGAAACGCTCTGACCTCTGAGATTTGGTCCCTCTCAGGCCAAGACGTCTTACTCTTCACAGACGGGCATCTTCCTGCTGCCCCTGAAACCATGATGTTCCCCAGGGTTCCATCCTCGGTTCTCCTTCTGCTCCCAGCCCTCCCTCTGTTGGGTGATGCCAAGCACCCCCAGGGTTTTGACACTTAGCTGTTTAGGGATTCTTCCCCATCTCCTCCACACTGTCCCTCCAGCCTGGACTCCAGGCATGAGTCAACAGCACCCTGCCAGACGCCTCTGTCTGGGTATTCCATACCACGTTCAAAACGCAATTCTTCTCTCAGATTCACTTTTCTCCTGTCTCCAACTCATCTTCCCAGTTCCGCCAGGCCTGAAGCAGATGCATCTCAGACCTCCTCCCCACCTCACCCAGTTCGTCACAGAGGCCTGCTAATCCTCCCTCCGAAATGCTTCCCAGCTCTGTCCTCTCCGTGCTGCTGGCCTCAGTTCAGCTGCATCTCTAGCCTGCTACGTTCAGCATTTTTCTGGTGGCCGTGTCTTGTTCTCCTTGAAAGCACCTGTGCACTGTCACCAGAGTCGTCTTATCACAAGTCCGGGGCCTTAGCTCTACTGGAGGACGGGGTATGAGCTCCCTCAGAGTGTGCACCTCGGCAGTCCTCTCACACCCACTTGATAGTGTGCTCCCTGCCTGTGTCTCCTGCCTCAATTGCTGCTTCTGCCTCCTGAGTCACATGGGAGAGCCTCACCCAGATGACTGTTCCCCTGAGGCCCCAGTCGTGGTCTCGCCTCCACTCCCAGGCCCCCTCTGCTGGGATACAGTATTCCCGCCCCAGCTTATCCTCCGAGTTCAGCTTGCACATCCTCTCCAGGAACCCCTTCCCTCCGGGTTTCCCACACATGGGCATCTCTGGAACTGCATTTGCCAAGCTGTACTCTAACTTCTTCCATCCTCTTCACTAAGTTGTGGGAGGTTTTTGAGGTCAAAACTTGCCTTATTGATCCTTGGAACCCCCAGCAAATGCTCAGTGCATACATGTTTACCGAACAGATGGACTGA